TTTCTTTAGTATACATACTGAAGTCGTCATTATTGAGAGCCAATATATCATCCAAATATCTAAAAGTATTGTTAAATTTTTGTATCAGATGTTGTTTCGATGGGTCTTTGCTGATTTTAGTCATAAATTGTAACTCATAACAATACAAAAACAGATCCGCAATAAGTGGTGCACAGTTAGTCCCCAATGGAATTCCGATAACTTGACGATATACGGAATCTCCAAAGCGAACAAAAATGTTATAAAGTAAAAATTCAAGGGCAGATATAGTATCAAAGCATGTCCAATTGACATAGTTCTTTTGTTTGTTGCTACTAAAAAATGACCTAAAAGAGTTTGAACATATGTATTCGCATTCCGACTTTTTAAATGCCCATTTAATTAGGTGTGTGAATTTTTTCTTAATAAGAATATGAGGCAAAGTGGTATATAGGGTAGAAAAATCAAAACTTTGAACAGATTCAAAATCACCAATATATGCATGCAATTTATCAAGTACTTCCAACGAGTTTTTGTCACTCCAAAAGTAGTTAATTCCACTATTTTCAAAAGCCTTATTTGAACAATTTATTATCAGGTTTTTGATTGTACCAAGTGTACTAGTAAGTAGAATAGACAATTTAGTAGTGGAACAATGACTTGAAGACGAAATAAATCTATATTTGTAAGGTGATTTGTGTAGCTTCGGAAGCCAGTACATAGTTGGAACTTTCATTATATTTGGTTCTGCTTGTAAAGAAGTAGCTAATAGTTTATGTTTGTTACATATATCGTTTTCTGAAAATGAAGTCAGTTGGAATGTTGGTGAATTCGTGATTTCCTTTTGCAGAACCTCAATGTAAAATTTACGTCAAACTATAATGATATTATTAGCAGCTTTATCAGCCGGGACAAAAACAAATTCCTTGGCTAGTTCTTTTAGTTTATGTTTGATACGAGAAATAGGATTTTTATGTTTGTTGTTAAGAGTAAAATGTTCTTTAAAATGTTGTATACGTATATCAACTATCTTCATTACTGAATTAAAAAAAGAGTCCAAAGATTTTTTGTCAGCTTTTTCCCGTTTTATCCATTTCAAACAGTAAGCACGAAGTGAGTCGTGGATGATATTACGACACTCATTCCAATTAATAATTGACGGGGGACGATATTTAGGTCCTTTATTATGTCTGTTTGTTTTGTTCACAAATTGTTGTCAATATAATGGAATTTTATGCGACTGTCATATAAGTGAGAGGTTTAGCTAGATATAAAACCAGGTTTAATCCACCATTTTCTACATAAGGAAATGCCTGTACCAAGTCAGGAATATGACAGTTGTTTTCCATTCGTTTGATGTGTTTGAGCTTTTGATTTTGCCATTTTATAAGGGACTTTCAGATTTGAATTTTCCTTGGAGTTTGGTATTTTGTTATTTAACTTTTCACTACAACCAAGTCGATGACAAGTTTCTTCCTAGAAGTAACTTTACTGCTGGTGGATTATTCCCCGAGGGCATCATTAACTTGGTAGCTTAATGCATGATGAATACAAAGAATACAAAAAAACAAACCGGCTAGGATGTCGTCTGGGTTACCAAGGTCCTCTTCTGCTACACTGAACACTGTACCATCTGATTTGTGTGTTCCATGGAATATCCTCTGGGATACCCCTAATTTGACTTATGTACAGCAAGAAGGTAATTATTACTTTAAAAATTCAGATACTTTTCAAAAATTAAAACCATGTACCGTTAATATTTTCGACTGTTTAAAGACACCTGCTACAAGCGAATCAACTATCATTTCTACTTGTTAACATATAAAAGGAAAGTGTTAATCACGACTCCAGATTTCACTAGTAACTTAACAGGAAAAAATTATCTAACAAAATCTTTTGGACCTCTGGACTGTTCCACGGACAATGTCGTTTACGTAATTGAATGTACTTTGTGTGGACTACTTTATTTTGGTGAAACTCGACAAACTTTGCGTAAAAGGATGAATCAACACCGGTCTGATAATAAGGACCCGCAATTTAGGGTTCTTTATAACCATTTTAAACAACCGGACCATGATCCTTCTTTATCCATGAAAGTACGCATCATCGAGAAAATTTATCACCACATCAATAGCCCTAAGCACTCCTTTCCGAAATAGCCCCAAGTACTCCTTTCCGAAAAGATAGAGAAAATTTTTGGATAAGGGAACTAGGTACTGCAATGTCATAGGAAATTTGTCATGTCCAGCCTGCAGTGATGTAAATGTAATTAGCTTATTTAATACTACTGTTAGACACTAGCGTATTCATGAGCAAAAACATTACCATCGGCCCAATGTAAAAAAGTCTTCCAAATCTAGATCGCCCTCTGGTAGCTTTGATGACCTTCTTTCACATCTTCATCATTCGCTAGGGTTACATTACATTAGAACTATTCGTTTGTCACTGCCTGTTAATTTTCTAAAATGTTTGAGAGATTATGCACTTGACAAGGGATGCATTAATACATTTTCTCCAATATACAGACTGGTCAGCATAATTTGTGATGTAGCTCTTTTCCGTCTTTTTATACCAGTAAGATCGTTACCTTTACATGATGAAAAGAGGAAATTCCTTCCAGTTCAGTTTTCTAATAAAGGAATTGTTCCAATCAACATCAGCACCGTTCTTCATCACAAGGAGGTAACATCTAAAATCCCACTTTATTTTCAAAATCAGTCTGTTCCTATTGTATCCTACAGTTACACCAAAACCATTGCACCTACAGTATTTAACAATAAGCAAGCATTTCAGGACCTTGATTTAGAAGAATACCTATAAAACCCTTTGACATATGACTGTTCCCACTCGCCTTATATTTACAGCCCCTCTGGCCATGTTATTACTGGGGATCTAAACATAATTCAACATGAACATCTCCGAAAGGTAATATCTCGTGGTCCTAAGTTCAGAGAACACCAACACATCAATTGGAACCATAACTTCAAAATAAATTTTAAGACTTATACCTCGAATTTGACATAAGCAGTCATCTCAGTACCAGAATCTATGACAAACGAGACGGTTTTGATTTTGAAATTATCAATTTCCCCCAAGTGAGTAGCAATATACTAACTTCTCCTGCATATGGGATATACATTTCCCAACTCATTCGGTTTTCAAGAGCTTGCAGCTGCTACCCAGACAATATAAAACGTCACCAGTGTCTGAGCAGAAAGTTGATAAACCAGGGTTATGTCAAAGAACGTCTCGTCCTTTTTCTAAAAAAGTTCATCGGAAGATACCAAGACCTTGTTGATAAATATTCCGTATCAACTTCAAAAATAATACATGATGGTCTTGAAGTATAGATTCTAGGTACTGCCGTTGTTTATCATCTTAATTACGTGTTAAAGTGTTCTTTTATTTGTCTTTGTAAATTATTAACCTTTACTGTTTAGTCTATTTTTGGTAATATCCTTTTGGCGTGGCTCGGTACTTATGCATCCTGCCAATGTGTTATTGTGCTGTGGTAATTTTTTGTATTCTTGTCTTTCATTTTTGCTTATGTGCTATGTCTTTATGCCATTTTTTTTTCTTTGTTGACATATTTGTTTGTATTATAGTGATTAAGATTATAACACAATGTTGACTGCTGTATCCCTATTTTTGACATTTTTACCTATAATGTCTGTTTGTTTTGTTCACACATTGTTGTCAAAATTATGGAATTTTATGCGACTGTCATACAAGTAAGAGGTTTAGCTAGCTACAAAACCAGGTTTAATCGACAATTTTCTACATAAGGAAATGTCTGTACCAAGTCAGGAATATAACAGTTGTTTTCCATTCGTTTGATGTGTTTGAGCTTTTGATTTTGCCATTGTATAAGGGACTTTCCGATTTGAATTTTCCTTGGAGTTTGGTCTTTTTGTTATTTTACTTTTTTCATATACTTTTTTATTGATTGGGTGGTTTTATTAGCTTAAGTGGATTTTGATAAGATTAATCATAGCTTACTTGTACACAAATTTCAAACTTATGGAATTTGAAGCAACACCAATATGCTGATAAAGAACTGGATGAGTCGAAAAATACAAACTGTCGTATAAGAAAGTAGCAATTCAACATCAGTCCCTGTGGGTTCAGAGTACCGCAGGGAACAATCATAAGGCCAAGCCTCTTTCTGCATTACATCAACGACTTGCAGAATTTAATGCCGTAGCTAACTTGTTTGTAATGACACAATTGCCTACCCAGCAATACCATCTGAAAACTGGAAATTTTACAAGTAAACTTAAATAAACTAGGCGGGTGGTAACAAATATGGTGCAATTAATTTAAGCCTTACAAATGCAACATATTTAGGGTAATAAACAAGAAGACACAAATTTAAACAGTATATCATCTCCATAGCCATGATAGAAGTACCAGCAGCCAAATATTTTGGTCTCACTATACATAAAATCTTAACAGACATAACACATACCTGAATGCCGTACAGCAGATAACGTAAAAAGTAAATAAGACACTTGGATTTCTGCGGCGACATATCAGAATCTCATCAACAAAATAAAGAACTAAACTTACATTGGACAAGTAAGACCACAGCTAGAATACGCACAGCTACAAAAGAGAGGCGAAAATACTAAAGGGACATTAAAACTTATAAGTCGAAAATAAACTGACAACGCCATGGCAAAAAAAGAAAATGACCAAAAACGACAGTATATAAAACAAAACATATAAAACTAAAGACTGAGCAACATGAACCCCATCAAAAACAAGTGGGATCTCAGGTGCTACAGAAGGGTATGCAGATCCTGCTCCACATGTGGCACCCGTCGTGTTGCTCATGTACGTACACACCCGGTGATAAGTCTAATTCGGTAGGTCACATTAGTGGGAAAGGAGGACGGGATTGTGATTACGATGATTGGGAAGTAATTGCGATATCTAAAGAAGGACGACTCATATCAACATGGCACCGAGAACGAAATTTACTTTCCCGTTCGAATCCTAAGTATTGAATGATAACACTATTCAACACAACTATATGTATTCAACACATTGTAGTATATAATAATAACGTAAATAATGTATCACAAAGTCAAAAATTGAAGTCACTTATAAAAAGTTTGTATCAGACCATTAAAGCTATCAACAAAAGGTACTTTTTTTTCCATCATCTGAAACAGATAAAAGGTTAGAAAGAGACGTAAATGCAATTATTTTGCTACCGCACGCTTTCACATGGTTCTGTATGATAAAAAAAAGTATTAATATGGGTTTTGATTGTCCATCCCTACTACCCGATTTTCTATGTGGAAACCAAAATTGAAAGTACCATTACCTTACTTTATTTTTCCTTTCATTTGTGAAATCCTTATACATGAATTAAATATTCCTTATTTAGTAAGTTATGACAAATTAATAGTCAACTTTAAATTTCCAGTCAGTTAGGACATAACAACACCCGAAGACACAATTAATCATGAACGATTTTGGCTGTTATATATTTGCCCTTTTGGTTTTTATGGTTTCGTAAATGTTTTATTTATATGTCTGCTTTTCAAACTTTTCAAACTTTTCAGGTACAGATGAAGTTTATTCCAGACAAACGTGTTGATCGCAGGGAACCACAATTTTATTTCTTTGTTTTTTTTCTATTTTTTTCAATTTGTGTTTAAAATGATTCCGTATGAAATTTTACCATAAACAATGTTGAACCTAATCATAAGAATTCCGTTTCATAGAATTCTACCAATCCATCCATTTCAAGATGACAAATGCTATCCAATGGTAGTCGATGATTAAAGTCTATATAATGGTCTCCATTTACATATGTCTGAAATAATAATATAATTATAAATCAGGATAAAGTCCAATATATATTGAAAACTTTTTGATTGAGTATTAACCCATTTTCAGAATCTCTAGTTAATAAATTATAAGCCTGGTATCTTTGACGAGTTTGTATAGCTGGTTACAAAAACCTTCGTAGCTTAAAAAGTTATTGTTAGAACAACACATTTTCCTTTTGCTATTTTGCATAATAAATCACAATAATATTTTAAAAATGATTCAAAAATAACAAAACAAATTCACTGTATCATACCATAAACTTTTCCTCCATAACTTTTATAGCAACTTCGAATGTGTCTTTTTTCTCAAATGGGAAACTATCCTCTTCTCTCTCTTCTTCTTGCCAGTTTCCTTCCACGTATGTATTTCTCACTGTGCAATGTTCTTCTCCAAAACGGGGATTAAAGTGAAAAGCTACATTGCTCTCAGGGTCATCTCCACATTTCAAGTTAATATGGAATCTGTATTCAGAAATTGTGTGAAGAATTATAATATCACGTCATAAAATTGTTAGTGTTAAAGAAATCAATGTCGTCGTCATTAATTAAAACAGGACACAATGGACGCAACATGTGTTGCATAAATCAATTATCTCCCATGTCATCTGAAACCATGCAGATCTTGAGTTGTCTGTTATTTTCTAGTGGATTATTGTCTCATGATCTGTTTTTTTTTGTCTTTCCTCATTGTTTTTATTTGTTTGCATGTTTCTTTTACTTTCAGTATTGAAATGATTGACGTTTATTGTTATGAAATGATATTAACAAAGTTCTATTATTTCTGGTAGCTTGTAAGATAATATTCTATTATTTTAACTTTTTTGCAGCAATTCAAAAAGTCACCTATCACAGTTCTTCTTTGGCATTCCATGAATAATAATCCAGGAACCAGGTCTTATACCTCCAGGGATCCTTTCTAAAACTGGTTTCTCCTATTAAAGGTTTACAAATCATACATATAGTGATTTTATTTCGACTGTATTATCATTAACCATATGTAGGTCTATATAACCAACACACCTTGGAGGGTAGAATTATTTCTTCGCGATATACCTTACTGACTCAATTTTCTCATATCAGCAAAAAACTAACTTATTTCAAACTAGTCACTTTATTATTATCTTCCAGGCAAGCCGAAAAAAAATCAAATGCAATCTGTTTTCATATGTAACTGTGAGCGATTAGTTATATTTTTGATTTGCAAACTTGTTTTTTACCATGATTTCTTGATAGAGTGTTGCTGCTTGCAAGGATACTATTGAACCAATAGTTCTCTATTGAAAAGTCAAAGTATTCCTTTTTTTTATTAGTTTTACGGTCGCTTGATCGTTTAGAAATGTATACACCACGGACGACAAAGCATATGTTTTCTATTTGTTGTTACTACAATCCCATCGTCCTTTTCTCGATTTTGACATTCCACAGAATTCCTCTTTTCACCTACAATGAGCAACACGAAGGAGTAGCTAGTGAAGCAGGAACTGCTTACCATTCAGAAGCACTCCCCTTTTTCTGTGTAAATTTTGTGGACAATATACATGACACCCCCGCTGCAAGGGGTGTCCGCGTTTGTGCTGGGTGTATCAAATACACAGAACGTGATGGGAGAGTGCAGCGCGCATTACACGAAAAACACCCATCCAGCATCATTAGTTAAGACAAGGATCAATCGGGGGCGATGCTGGGGCTATAAATTTTGTGCAGATGTTTTGATTGGTTATCGATCTGCAAATGCACAGTTGATATAAAAGTTTCAATATGATTTCTGTGGTAATCTAAATTGATTGCCATTTTGTGTCTCATTCCATCGATTTCTTTCTTTGTAGTTTTGCATAACACCCTTTCATGTTCATTGTTTTAGCTTTTTAGTCATGTTGAGCGTAAAACATCAATCATACAGTATAAAAGCTAATGATTTACAGATAAGCTATACATGAGATTAAACAAAGGACAACATCTAGATATATTATTTACAGGAGAATGAAAGAATGTTAAATCACATTACCTATTGAAGCCTAGACTACATACCAATTTTCTCTCCAATTTGACTTGGAAAATATAAGCTCCTGCATTAACGTTGATTCCTTTGATATTTTCAATATCTCCTCTTGATTCAAACTTTTTAACTTTCGTTCCATTCACATAAACCTGGAATTCAGATATGAAAACGATTAAGAAAATAATTAGTCATGTTAGCAAGCATATGAAATATTAATGAACAATAGCAGTATGAACAATATGAAATATGAGGTCGGGCGAGTTTATCATACTTAATAATCACAAATCATATGTTAATAAAAATGTTATAACTATCATAAGCAAATACATGAATTTCAGTGATAAGATTTATCTTACATCATTAATTTCATAATAAGTTAAAACTGAGAAAAAATGTATATAAAAATAAGAGTACGCATTACCTTGAACTTACTGCTTTTGGTGACTATCTTGATTTCAAACGGTTTCCTCTCGGCTATGCATTGCGGGATGTCTATTCTTTCTTCGTCGGCCCAAGAATCATCAGTTCTACTATTGAATACCACTTGACCTTGTTCAATCCGGGGATTAAAATGTAGGGCAACATCGGAATCGGTAGTAAGACCATAATGAAGGTTTATGGCAAACCTACAATAGTTAGAACAACTGCTTAATTTTTAACACTAAACTCACATCTGATATAAGTATCATACTTGTCACAATTTATTATTAAATGATGATCTAAAGAAAGAAATATAACAAATCAAAATGTATCTTTTAACCTAGCTTCACCCAACAGTTTTAAGTGTGGTTGCTGTTGCTCAATCTTTAGTTCTCAACTAATCAGCGAGTGTAAAATTCATTGTCTTTTTTTTGTCCCGTGTCCCTTCGGCAATGTTTTTCAACGTGCAGTTTCAAATGCCCCTTGATATAAGTCTATTTTCTTCAACGGTAGTAGAACAGTAAAAAAAATACCATACAAATCACTCAAAAGTCGACATTTATTCATATAGCTCCCAAATGTATTCTTTTCTAAACCTTGGATTTGAAAATCATTGTGAATTAAATTCACCACATTTAAGAACGTTTTATTTTGATAAACTTTCACTTGCATGGTTGATACCATTGCTGGCGAATTGTAAGACCCTGATGGTTTCATCAGTCTAGAAGTCGTGTACCGATTATCACTTATAATATCCATGTTAATTTCAGGTGATTTTATTTTATTCCAAGAAATTCCCCAAACCATGGGTCGATTAGCTTTATTTTGATATTTTTTTTACAATACTATGACTCTAGCTCCACTCTCGTTTTCGGTTCTTATTAATTATTCATTTGTATTAATATGTTCATGCCAAATTATGATTAGTATCTAACTTGAATTTGATTAATAGCATATGTTTATTCTAGCCCCAGATAAAGTGAACATTGGTTTTGACTATTCTTATAAGGTCATTTTGGTTATTTGGCTCCTCTTGTATTTATACATCTGAATCCTTTTCAATTTAAGACTATGAGCTTTCCTGATGCTTTTGAACCATGTAAAAGGCCTCACAGTTAGATAAAAAACGCCATAACTTGATGCTCATTACTTTAAGATTTGTTTAAAGGGTATAGGGATTTTATGTTATGAACTAATGCAAAAGTGTATAGGGATTTTATGTCATGGACAAATGCAAAAGTGTATAGGGATTTTATGTCATGAACTAATGCAAAAGTGTATAGGGATTTTATGTCATGGACTAATGCAAAAGTGTATATGGATTTTATGTCATGGACTAATGCAAAAGTGTATAGGGATTTTATGTCATGAACTAATGCACCATAATGTTACTTTTCGATTTTCCGAATACAGTTTCAATCTAATCCTTTGTTTTTTGCAACAACAAAAATAGTTATCAAAGGTACCAGGATTATAATTTAATACGCCAGACGCGCGTTTCGACTACATAAGACTCATCAGTGACGCTCAGATCAAAATAGTTATAAAGCCAAACAAGAAACTGACATATAGATTTGCGTACCGTTCTGACTCAGGTCTCATGAACCCTCTGAACAACAACACATCTCCTTTCTCAAGACCTGAAGGAATCTCCTTTACAAAGTCGTCATCCTAAATAAGATATATTTATTGAAATCAGAAAATTATGCTGGTGTTATGATACTGAGAAATACAGACTTTCACTATTCTAAAATAAAGAGATAAATAGAAGATACATTTAGCGTTTACTCTTAATGAATATGTACTCAATTTGTATTTTTGTTCAAGAAATTGAGTTTACCAGCTTGTTTTTGCTAAGTTTAAACATTACATTTTGTTATAAATGTTTGCTTATCTTTTCTCTAAACAAATTATTTTAGATTTCAAATTCTTAAAGATGGTGCAGTTTTGTTTTTGGAGTAAGTGCTAAACATCTTTCATTGTTTTTTTTTAAATAAGTGAATAAGTGTGTTACAATCAGTATTACGTATTGTTTAATTTTGAGTAAAGTACTTACAACGGGTTCTAGGAACTCTAACTCGGCAATATCTACGTCACCTAGAATGTGCAAATGTGTGGCATCGGCAAAATCAAGTCGATGATTGAAATCGGCAAAATGGTTTTCGTTGACATAAACCTGCAAGAGTTTTAATTTTAATATGTACGAAATCTACATTTACAAAAATACATATTACAAAGTAGTTGATTAGTAGAACTGATCAGAACACAGAACATTTTACACGCGGTGTTTTGAGTATCCACCTTTGGGTCATTTTTTTTAAATGTCGGATTCGAACCGTCCTAATCGAACCGTGTAATGTAACGATTGGCTTTTAAACAAGCGTGAAAGAGTGTCTGGTTCCAACAAATCGCATTTCGGCAATTATTTGGCGCTGTCCTCAACGAAACCCATGCGATAGATCGAACCTCTGGCCAACATTGAACTTTTCGCCATCGTTCACAATGCAATGTAACTACTGATAAAAAACGCCGCACATGACTCTTTTTTATAATTGGACGCAGAACAAAAAACGTTCAGGAAGTTTAGATTTAAGGTATACAAGGTTCAAGTTTTTCAACATCTTTTTGAGAATAAAAATACTAAATGCACTGGTTAAAGTAGATATAAAAATGACAGGTGTATATTTATATTGAAGTCGGTATTGTTTTTTATCCTGTACATCTACATAGATATTTCTAATGTTTGATAAAAACAGTTTAGTATATCTTAATTCTATTTTGCTTTGACAAACAAAAAATTATAGAACTTCTTGAATAATTTAAAATATCATAATAAAATGGCAGTATCATTCTCTATGTTCCATGTCCTCTGCAACACTGCCAAATATGCGGTGAAATGATGATATAAAACATACGTGATATTTCTCAGCAGTGCAAACAAAAATAATATCAAAATATTGATCATTGTCAAACGGGAAATCTCCTTCAAAATCTGTTTCTTCATCTCCCCAACCTCCTATGTTAGCATTCATTACTACAGTTCCGTCTGATGGCCGTGGATTGAAGTGAAAGGCAATGCTTTCGTTTTCACAGTCACAGGAAAAATTTACATTGAACCTAAAAAATTCCAATCAGGAATAAAATATAAAGCGAAAGAATTCGAGAATATTAATTTTTATCATTGCAGAATTTACAGAACTCTATATTGTTGTTACTGTCAGATCCGGAGTGTTCTCTTAAAATTTGGCTTACATACATATAAATAGATCTAATCATTTTAAAGAATGTTTAAAAAAAAAAAAAAAAATAAATCGCAAAATAAGTATCTGGTTTGATTTGTCTACAATCAAATAGCAATGATAAAGGATATATTTTACCCGTCAGAACATCGATCTGCACGTCGAGAGCATCAACATCAACAATCAATAAACCATACTTATAAAACAAATGAGATACAGATAAGCTGTACACGAGATTAAAAGGACAACAACATCTAGTGACTCCATCTATTGTCTACTTATATAGCAATTATAAATTACTTCTATATATTTTACCCTTCAGAACCTCGAGCTGCACCTCGAAGGCGGACAGCTTTGCCAATTTGCATCCTTCCTGGTATTTCTGTTCTGTACGGAGTTCCCTGTTTTGAAAGCAAAAGCAAAAAACACAGTGTTATAATGCAAAATTACAAGTTACAACTAATCATTTCCGTAGAATTTATTTGCATTGTTTCTATATTTGTGTTTCAAAGTAAGTTGCAGTAATCATTTTTTACCTAGCCAAATCAACTGCTGCAAGAATTTCAGATGTTAAAAAATATTTTTCATTCCATTCAAGTTTTTTGTGATTCACATTTTAACCTGCCATCTTCTTACAAATCAAACTACCTGATTATATAAATGATTATTTTTTATTTCTTATGTCGATGTACTTACATCCTTATCTTGGAAGGTAACATCGTAATATTCTGCTCCATCCGACAACTGTAAAAACATGCCCTTACTTGGATCTATCCTATGACCATAGTTGATGAACGGTTTTCCTTGAACGTAAGTATGATAGCCATCTTCGGCCATCTCTATTCGGAGTAGAAAAGATTTTCCAGCTCCAAATGGGAAATGTGGTTTATCCCTTTCTTCTCCTCCCCATTCTCCTCCTGAAAATGTGTTTCTTACCACCACTTCATCTTCTTGGCGAGGATTAAAATGGAACAGTATATCACCACCATCCTCTGCCTCTTTCACATTAATGGCAAAACTGAGAAAACGAAGAACATATTGATAATATTATATTTGAAAAATGCGTGCATTTCATAAAGAACTCATTAAAATGCAAGAAAGATATTAGAAAAAGTCTCCAGAGAAAATCAGGAAATTGAAAAAAATAGCATACAGGTAAATTGCAAACAATATACTAGTAGGTACAATTGTCGACCGATGCTGCACAAGATGAATTAAATCATACCTACTAAAAAGAAGAGGAAAATTTATTTGGTGTACTAAATTGCAGTTAATAACATAAATTTTGTCTGAAAACATGAGAGCATGTAAGAACATGATTTTCCCCCATCTTTAATCAAGAGTGGCCGTCATGATAACGTGCTTAACAAGCTTAGGTAAACTATTTTATTAGTGTTTTTGCATGTCTATAATATTATTCAAGAAAAACCGCATAAAATTTTATCTTGCATGATGTATGAATAGATAGCTCACGGTAATTCAATAAACCCCACCTATTTCAACAAAAAACATCATTGTTAAGTGCGCAGCTATATTACTTAATTTCATTTCAAATCTAAATTCAACTATTTCGTTGGGGCAAACTTAACAGGCTAATGCCCGCTTGTGATTTAGAAGAACGTCCTTTGTTAAACGCTACAGAGATTCAGCAGTTGTTTTTGTAAGCGTTTTGTAAACTTGATAATGTTTTCTCGTAGACGGGACTGGAAAGAATAGGGGAATTCACTAAGGATTAACATATTGCAGGTATTGATGGACATTTTTCAGCACATGCATGCATTTGTCCAACATTCTTGGTTTCGTCAATGAAATTAACACGATAGTATCTTATATGATGAAGGCACTTGTTTATTTTCCAACATCGTATGTTGACCACTAGAAATCTTTTGGTTTTTCGATGGTTGTTGGGTTATTGTGATATCCCACATCTCATTTTACTCCTTTCTAACGCCCCCTTCTTCTATAAGATAATTAATTCACTTACTAATCATGATTATGAGTAACTCTACCACGAAGCAGGATCTGTTTTCCAGGACGTAATCCACCAGGGATTTGCAATGTTGATGGGGTTATCTAAAAATTAGATAAAAATAAAAGGGCAAAGTTGTGTTTTAAGCTAGCGAAATCATAAAGTGTATGCAATAAACGTTTCAACATTTCTTCAACTTTGTAGATTTCCGTAGATTCGTTTACACGGTTGCAATGATTACGTCTTCAGTTATTTACTTTTTTCAAACTTCCAACTATTTTGGAATAACAACATTGCTTACCGTAGACAAGCATGGGAAAATTGATAAATAGTATAAGATGTGGAGTATTCGCCATTGAGACAGGAATTCATCTTACAGAGACCATGTGGGGTATATATATATCAATGAGAGAGTAACCCAACAACGACACACAAAAACCAAGGGGTATCTATATACTTATTTTTAAACAACGATATCATCATAATTTCACTTTCTTACACGTTACAAAAACCAATCAATCACTGACGAAAGATCATAGTAACAAAATGACAATTAAACTGATATTTATTTTTTGGTTAGTAATCATAGATGTTGAAATGCAATTGAGAACAATTTTGATGATCTTTTATATTTCTTTGACACTATGATTAAATGGAATTTCAACTATCCCGAATATGTGAAAAAAACAAACGTTAAAAATTAACACAATAGCTATTTTTTTTTAAATCAATTACATTGATTGAAGACTGTATGCTGTCCACAAGATGTCTTTTTTATTATTTTTGTCGTTAGATTGCGGTCTTATTGGCGTATAACCAACGTCTGTTTTTAATACATCCTGTTATTTAAACCAATTTATGATATTTCTGAAAATTGAAACCCTAATGCTGCGTTCACACGTAATTCGAATTCGATTCGCATTAACTAATTCGAATTAGTTTAATTCGCATTCGAAACGTTTTACGTCCAAACGTAAATTCTAATTCGAATTGAAATGCGCGTCAAATTCACTTTACTGTCCAAACGACGTTAACTTTTTAAAAATTCGTATTAACAAAAACGCATTTCTAATGCGAATTGGATAATGCGGTTTAGCCAATTCGAATCAATTCGAATAAAAAAAGAAGAGTGTGTGAACGCGATTAGCGAATTCGATTCGCATTCGATGCGAATTCAATTCGAATTAAATGTACGTGTGAACGAGGCATAACTTCATTCAAATTGATTTTTAGTCCTATCGATCGAATATCTACGGATAAATTCTTTCATATATCAATTGATAATCATAAAATAAAAATTGAATGAGAAATAAGTACAAAACTACCTCCTCACAATGATGAACGGAGTTTACGTTTGCACTAATGTTTTTCAACCCAACTTGTCAAAAATAAATAGACTTAGTATAAACAAGCAAAACAAGATGATACATGTAAACACAATTAACATTTCCATGACCGTTGGTGGTCAAATTTGTTCTAACATTAGAATAATTAAACCTAAGGCTGTTTATACATCTTGTTCAGTTGCCAACACCCCTTCACCGACTTAGATGATAACTACGATATGCGCTAATACAATTAATTGTATACTTACGATGCGATTTATACTATAAGACATACTGCTGATTCTGTAAAAAATACAAATAGAAAGTTATGTATTCCTAAAATATGAAGTAAACAAAGTTTCTAACGTAATTTATTACATTAGTTGTGTAGGTAAAAGTGTGCTTACCTCTTCTATGGTCGATCGAGCGTTTTAAACTAATCCAACGTTCGATTTAGCTGTCTGCTAACAGATGGCGCACCTTTATGTGATTCATCCCAATAATACATGTACCATGTAAACGTGTTTTTTGTTATTAATGCAATTTAGTATCCTACGCGGGTCATAACCTCAAAATAACATAAGTAGAAAGCTTATTACGCATTTATAGTACAAAATGATAACATAATAAAACTACGCAAAAC